AAGGAGAAGGAGGAGGAGGAGGAGGAGGAGGAGGAGAAGGATTAAACGTCTAAGTACCATTGCCTACCGTAAACATGTCTTTAGCGTTGAAATAATTACATAATACGTAAGATTGTCACTATAAGTTCATTGGGAAATTACGAAATAACGCAAAACAGTGTAATTGGTCACATCATAGGTTACCGACGGGAAGGAGGTTGTCTTCTACTATCCACATTAGCAATATCATCACTGGATATCATTCTACAACTAAAAAGTAAACATTGGTATTCTGAGTAGTACACGATTTACAGTGGAGGTTAAAATTATGTTTCTTTCCATAGCGTTACGAAGACTCTATTCATATTATCATTTTTACTATTATATTGGGTCCAAATCTTGACCACCATCCAGGTGCAGGCCTAATACATTAGGTATTTTCACGCAAATAATTAATTGCTGCAAAGGCTTTTACATTAATCTTGGGTTCAGTCATAGTTATTTTAAAGCCTTTTATATATTATTCTTTTGTTTCTATTTCAAGTAAGTTACCTTGCTGAAACTTGGTCCAGGTAAAATCCTCATTCAAACGCTGTTACTCCAAAATACAACATGTATATTTTTCTCTGAAAAATGTTAGATGTTATTTCAAGTCAAATAATGACGCGATATTTGTTGTAATTAGGCCCTATTTCAAAATCGAGACAGCTTATGCAAGAGCCATCTATAAATCTACACATGAATTTGATGCTGATTCTGCAGTTTCTCATCCTCAGAATAAATTCTGTATTTGATGAGCAGAAGAAGAAAATAGTAGCCTATGAATATCAGTCAGGCGTTAGGAATTAGATTTTGCTTTACGTCTTATAGGCTACAGATTTAGGTAAACCTAACAATTAAGCTTCCCCTTTGAGGCACTGAATTAAAGAAAGGATAATATGTTTTTAGAAGCACAAGAAAAATGATTCAAGCTGAATTTTTATTCAGATTGAAACCTGAATCCGGAGCGTATGGTCGGCAGGTTCGTATCCAATCGTGCAGCTGTGATCAATTAAATCAATATGTAGGCCTATAGGCCTAATAATATTAAGGTTCGATTAGATATACGACTGTGGTTGGATATTACTGATGAGAGCTGAAGGCTCAACACTGTTTCGCAAACAAAATTGGTTTAGTGAGAATTTCATTCTAGTGTGTTTATTTGTGTGTGCGTGTCGGG